TCAATTTCCATAGTCTAAATAAGATTGTGAAGTATCTGTCTTTGGTGCAATTATACTTTACCACAAAGGATATGTTTGTGTAATCAGTAAGTAAACTTAACATTCTTTTTGCCTTTTACTTCTTAAAAATAAGTTATTTGAACAACTCAAGCTAATAAAAATATAATGTGCATGATTTCTTAAAAAGGCAAATTCAGTGCAGCAAGTTTCTATTCAAGTTATGATTATATATAAAAATACAAGTTTCTTCTGATGATGAAGCTAGGTATTTTGAAGTAATGAGAAACATCCCTTTCAGTAAATAACTCATCATAAACTTAACAGAAAAATAAAAAATAATGATTTACTAAGGGTTTTCAAAATTACTATTTGTTAAATAACACAAGTACTAAGGCGAAATGTTTTTTTTTTGTTTTTTTTTGCGTGGTGGTAATCCTATAATCATTTTAAATCAAAAGATGTTTTAGAGCCTGTGTTGACATGCTTCGATGGCAAATACAATATGCTTTTGGCATTAGTTTGAGATGCTTCTTTGAACCTTAAGAATTCAGACACAATTGACATGTATTTCACCTGCTTTAACTGCTTTTGCATGGCCAGTTGTTTTGGGTGGAGAAGCAAAAAAATCCTGTCAACACTGGTCCTTACATGCTTCATGATTTTTTTTTCTCTCTTAAATAGACACTGCCATATGTAATATTTCAATGCCATCAAATATGACTTCTGTATAAATCAGCTTGAAATATTTTTAACCACTTCAAGACCAGGATGTTAAACCCCCTTCCTGTCCAGGCCATTTTTTTAGTATTCAGTGCTGCAGTATTATTACCCAAATTTTTGGTAAAAAATAAAAGATGGGGTCACATTGAGTAACTAGACACCAAACATTGGGCGTGCCCGCAAAATCGCAAAAAACTATCATACCCAAAATTGGCCATAGCGATGCTTTAAAAGCTTTTACCGCTCATCAGTTTAGTGTTAACGTGAAAAACAATAATGTGCAAAGCTAATAATCATACACAAAACAATCATACACTTCGTCAGGGGTCTGTATTTTATGCTGGTACTTGTGATCTGAGGAAACCTTATCGCCTTTACATGGGCTTCACTCCCCCATTAAGAAGGGAAAATGCGCATTTGAACTAGCTCTGAGGGTCTAGCTCCCCAGGTGAGCATTCACTTGTTGTTATCACTCACTGGGTGGAGGTGAAGGTCTGCCTACATTGTGTGATTATCCTTACCTGAGAGTTACATGCAGAATGGCTGTGAATCATCGGAGGAATTTTCTTGCACGATCACCATTGTTCTTCTTTTTGGGACTTTTTTGTTTTTGTTGCTTTTTTTGTGTGTAGATCTTTCTATGCCTCATTTTCTTTAAGGGGACGGTGGAGCTCGGGATCGGCAGTGGTAGAGGGGGGGACGCACACCCACACTCAAAATACAAGTGATCGGGCAGCTCAACAGCCAGCAGAATGCTTGTATTCAAACAGCCATCATTGGCTATTTGAAATTAGGGAAGTTTTCCTGCTTGTGCACGCCGCCCAGCGCAGTGGGGGTGGGATAGGACATTTTCAAACACCCACCCCAATCTAGAAGGCTCCCATCCAGCTTTTTTATGTATGGCCACTGGACAGAAAGCGGTTAATCGGTGGCCTCTGTGCTGAATGTAGAGGTAATCTTGGTGGTTGTAAAACTTTTCAACCTTGTCTATAAAATGCGGATATGGTGTGTCACCAGTGTCACTGTCTGTTCCCTGTGTCACTGCCAACATTTGATTTCAGGAGAACAATTGCGAGCTCAGTGAAAGTAAGTCTAGTGTTCACAAAACTCTTAAAGGGGAATTTATCAAGACTGGAGAAGACAAAATCTGGAGCAGCTGTGCACAGCAACCAATCAGCTTCTCTCTTTCATTTTCAAATCTCAACTGAACAAACTGAAGAGAGAAGCTGATTGGTTGCTGTGCACAGCTGATCCAGATTTTGTCTGCTCCAGTTTTTATAAATTCCTCTCAAAGTGTCTTTGAAGGAACCCTGAAGCGCTCGTGGCTGAGATATTTTTAAAAAATAGCTGAAAGGAAATCCATTTTTTATGCTTTTAGTATTTTATATTTTATATCTATATTATGTTGCTGAAAGTACATGTACCTCTGTCATGTGACTGGAGGGAGGATTTGACGGAGGGATCATACCTCTTGTTCAGTACTCCCTGGAGTTGATGACAGAATATAAGAGGATAAGACATGAAATGGTGGCCTGTAGTAGGTCCAGAAGCAACTGATAATTTGAAGGTGATCTGGAAACCACTGCAGCGCTGTAAAGGTTTAGCCCAGGTATGTGCATAATGTAGATTCCCAGATCGGACATGCAAAAATGCAGAATTAAAAAACAGGATCCTAGTCGAGAGGAGCAGGAGTCAGTAATAGCCAGGCAGTAGAGTTACCAATGCAGAGAGCAGAGGCAAAGTCAAAGTCCAGGCCAGGGTCAAGATTAGTGATGAGCTGCAGATAGGGAGATCGGCTGAACACACACATCCCACCAGGAAGTGTTCCATATAGTAACAGTATTGAGTCATCATTGACTAAATATGTAATCATTGCCATGAAAGATTTGCAGCGTGGGACTTTTTTTTTTTTTAAAGACTTTTCACATTGTGTCACTGTCTTTAGTAACAGTGTGGGGACCCCACATCAATTTTTTTGTTTTACATTTTGCATTGATCCCCCTTAAAATCCATAGTGGAATTGAAGGGTCTGGTATTGAATTTAAGGGGGGGCTCATATTTGTTGTGCTTTTTTTTTGCATTGAATCCCCCTGGTATGAATATTGCTTTTTGTTTGGCTATAACTTTTTGGCATAGAAAAAAATGCCACAAATGGCATTTTTTTCTTCTTTCACAAAATGACAGTTTTGCTACTGCACATCTTTACAGGCCTCTTCACAGACAGGCTTAGGGCCTTCCCTTAAGTGTGTTATTTAAAGGAGTTGGTACATGTCCCTCAGGGTAGTGCTCATATACCCATGCTCTTTGTTTAACATGTGAAGCGGCGCTATCACCCAACAAGTAAACAAATATGTGCAAAAAACAAATATTATAGTGAACAATACTATTGTGAGAGAAAAGAAAAAAGAAACAAAATATGTATATATAATATTTTTCAAATATTTTTCCAAATTACCGTATTTTGCGGTCCATAAGACGCACCGGACCATAGGACGCAGGGAGGTCCGGCGCGCCTTATGGAGCACTCGACAGACTGTAGCTTCTGTCACAGCTTCTATGACAGAAGCTGTGACAGAAGCTGCAGTTAGTGACCGCTGAGACAGGTGGCGCTGTGATTACAGCGCCACGGTCTCAGTGATCACACAGAGCAGTAATCTCGATCGTCGCCGCTGCTCGGTTTTAAAACGAGTGATCTCATTAGATCACTCGTATTAAACGAGCAGTGGCTCCTACTGCTGAACTCGATCGTTGCCGCCGCTGCTCGGCTTTAATACGAGTGATCTCATTAGATCACTCGTATTAAAGCCGAGCAGTGGCTCCTACTACTCGCCCGGCGCCCGAAACTGCATGTCTCGGGTGTCGGGAATCGCTCCATAAGACGCAGGCACATTTTCCCCCTCCTTTTGGGGGAAAAAAGTGCGTCTTATGGAGCGAACAATACGGTAAATCTTCTAGTCAACTGTTTGTGTAAATCACAAGGTGATAATCTAAAAAAACTCCAAATGACTAATAAAGTAGCAAACGTGTCAGTGTCTAAAACACATAATTGAAAAAAAGTGTCAAAAAAAATGTTTTTTGTCTTAGGGGTCTATTCACGAAGCTGCCGAAGGATCTAGCCATAGCTTCCAACTCTCTCTGGCGCTCCGGGAGTCTCCCGCTCCCTGCGCGTTACGCCTAATTGACTTCATCAGTAAGCTTTGTTTGACATGGTGGGTTCTCATGCCGGTTTCTTTTTCAGCAAAAACACAAACCAAAAAGAAAATGTAATTTACTGCTGGGCAATTTCAATGGTATTTTATTCTTTGTAAATGTCTCTTTTGATTCTGTATATCCTAAACATGTGCCACTTCACAGGAATTGTGCATTTTTAACATTGCCTTTTAAGCAATATTTTAAAAGCTGCTCCTCGCCAAACTGTATTTTCAAACCCAGGTAAGTTCGGCTCATCAATAGTCAAGATCAGATGGACAGCAAAGGTTCCAAGACAGCAGAAACTAGGCAGGGTCAGAAACACAAATCAGAATCAGCAACAGGAGGTACAAGCCATACAGTCATATTCAGGATGCAAGAGAGGTCAAACACAGCAAGACACAATAACAAGTCAGGTCACAGGAATACTTGATAACCCCTCAGCAACTTCTCAGAGCAATGCTGAGGTTTCAAAATGGCACTTGATGCCAATGCCAGTGCCAGACACACACCTCACAAAAGCATGCACATGCACAAGTGTTCATACAGCCATGACTCTGAGCATCGGGCCATGACCTGCATTTTATGCATGCGCAGATCTTCAAGCATGGGCATGAGTCTAACTTTCCTGAGAAGAACTTTTGCAAAAAATTCCTCCAGTCCTCCACTCTAGGCCCCATAATACATAGAGATGTCTCTTACCCCATAGGTCCATTCTTACATCCTCTGATGGCTGCAGCTTTCCATGCTGTCTGCAGCCTGGCTGGTAAAACTTCAGTGCTAGTCTGTGTGAGCCTGCACACCAATGTCACATAAGCTTAAATGGGAGCTTTCTCCTGCTATATGAGTACATCCTATTAAAGTCTATAGGTGGTTTGTGCTTTAAATTAGTAATCCTTTTGAGATACTCAGCAGGCATGCTCTGAATTCTTTTAGTGCATCCTTCACCAACCTTCTTGCTCTGTTTTATTTGTTAATCCACCTTTTTTCTATGCATTCTTTAGACTCTGTCCATACCAACAAAAAATTCCATCCAGGCAGGGAATGGAGTCCAAGACAGAAGGCAAGACTGAAAGGTTTTGGAATAAAAGGCTGCCCTATTAGGTAGGCTGCACAGGAAAAAATACGATTTTACTGAGCAGAGGAGGGTATACACTAAGCGTAAGTGCATGTACCCTTTAACACACATTCATGAACTGGTAAATGTAGTTGAAAAGCAAACTTTACTTATAAAAAATTTGATGTGTGTCTTCAAGAAATTAAAATCAATTATAGTAAGCCTGTAGCTGTGGTAAATTGATTTCCATATTTGTAGTCAAAAGCTTTGCAAACTTGAGAGGGTTTAAGGCAAAGTTTTGATTGCGTAATTTAGGACAAGTATCTATAACACTGTACATGATAAATGATAATATAAGTCAGTGAATGTAAATGGCAGTTTTAATCACATAATGGAAAAAGTATAAGAAGTCATTTTTAAAAATTTTTTCACTTCAAGACTGATATTCAAGATATTAAACACCAATAACAAAATTGTATCATACATTGCAGTTTGGCTATATACCCATTTAACCAAAATTATATTTCAGGCTAGGGGCAATGTTGTTTAAATTAATACATTTTATTCCTCCTCAAAAAGTTCATAACAGCACATTTTTTAGGAGGACTGCACATGTGCCATTTTCCACCTTCTCCTCCTCCTCCTCCTCCTCCCCCTCTCCTACTACTTTCCTCCTCCTCTTCTACTAATTCCATGATAGGTGAAGAAGGGATGAGGTACTGGTAGTGAGAAGGAGGGATTTGGTTCTGACACTGAGAAGGAGTGAAGAAAACATAAAGGCTGTCTCTACAGTGCAGGGGAAAGAGGACGCAGCATGAAGAGGAAGAGGAATTTTTAAGGACAGAGGAAGTGTAGACAGCAAACAAAATTAAGTGGTCTATTTATAAACAATTTGAAGAACCTTTTGTCCTGTGAATCCAATTGATTGTTTGCTCTGTGCGAATAGAGGCAAAAAGGAATGTTCTTAGTATATTTTCTTTCCATGTTGAATGTAATATTTAAAAAATATCACATTATGCCCACTAGGTGAAGCTGAGGAGCACAGGAAATAAGTATTTATTTGCTATATTATCTCAGCTCCATCTAGTGGCCATAATGCAGTATTGTATTGCATTACATTTGTCCTGAAAAGAAGATATACTAAGAATGTTTGTTTTTGTCTCTATTCACACAGAACGAACATTTACAGATATTTACAGAGTTTAAAAATGCAACACTTGATAAATACTTTGATTTGATGGCTTCAATGAGACAAATCTCTTTCTTGATCTGTTTTACAACTCTGCTGTATGTGTTAATTATATTTTCCTGTTCTCTTTCATTGAGTTTCTTAAGTGGTGATTCCATCTCCTTTAAAAGTGTCTACCTTTTCCATTATGCTATTGATACCCTCCACATTGTCAGAAAAGCCCAGGGATGCAGTTGAGCCTAAATTGAAAACCTGTTTTACATCAGAGAACCATGTGCAGATAAACACAAGATAACTTTGCATAGCTAGCACCTTTACAAGGCCAGTTCTGAGCTGGCAGCCTTATCATGCAAGGAACCCATTTTTTATTTGTTGCATATGCACAAGGTGTTTACACCTTTTTTTTCTATAAAGGTAGTACCCAGGTTGCATTGTCTTCCCTGCATGTGTTTGCTTTAATGGAGAAGGGACAACCCTTTTGCCGTTTTACATATGTGATATCCCCATACTGGGTAGGAGTAGTAGAATGTTTAAATGTGTATTAAATGTGTGAGGGGGGCTTGGAAGGAAAGGAGGGAGGGGGCTTTATTAATATGTGTGCTGGGGGCTTTGGAGGGAGGGGAGGGGGGTGTATTAGTTTGGGGGGTTGCATTTTTCTGTGTGTATATTAGGCCCCATTCACACCTATATTTCAGGTAAGATTAGGGATTCCTGTGTCACACACTTGCGTTTTCCTGCAGCAGGAATCCCTAATCTGACGTTTACATGCAGCAACTGTCACCCATTCAAGTTAATGATCAGGTGACAGCCGCTGCATGTACATGCCTGCAGACCGCATGTAATGGTATGTTATATGATTACATGCAGTTACAAAGACAATCACTTACCCAGGATAAACAATTGTGTAACCACTGATAGTGACAGATTCCTAACTGCATGTAATCCTTTCACATATGATTACATGCGGTGTGCAGGCGTGTACATGCAGCAGCTGTCACCCGATCATTAATTTGAATGGGTGGCAGTTGCCGCTTGTAACATATGCAGACACCAACACCGATACCGTATATAGTAGCAGCCCCCACGTGACTAAAATATGTGTCCAGTGGCCCCCCGACTAAATTGATTTTGAGACCCCTGCTCTAGTGATATTGTGTATGCTGGGGGAAGGGTAAATTGATGGATTTCCTTTAATAAAAATGGTTGATTTATATACACAGTTTGTATATTTTCTGCTTTTCAACAGCACAAATTTTATTAAAACAGATAACTGATAGCATCAATTTTCTATACATGTACTTTCCTGTTATCTTAATATCTGTGAATGGTGCTTAATTTCTGTGCTTAGCATTTGCTGAACTTGGTTGCTAAATTATGCTATACTTTACCAGAATTGGTATCAACAGTTCTATTCATTCTTTTACATATGGGAATTATTATAAAGTGTTAATGATATATTCCCAGTAGAGCACAACCCTTTGTAACATATTAGACATTTCTTGGATGAAAAGGAATAGAGCCATCTGCTGGTTCCTGATTTCTATGGAGTGGCAAAAATTTATAAGGATCATGATCAGGCAGAGCTGATACAAGCAGGAACTGTCAGCCCCTGTGTAAGTAATGTTGCCAAATGGATTTGTACAGCCTTATGTTTTAGGTTAATTTTCTTGATCTAAAACTGATTTTTACCACTAGTTGGTTGGAATTCATTACAATCATTTCACAAGCATGCCTCTGTGAACTGCTTATTACTTTCTGTAAGCTTTAAAAAGACGATCGAAACAAAGACATACTTTTTCAAAAACTTTTAGTCCTTAACAGAAATTGTCTTGAAGATGCAAACTATGGTTTAAAAAAAATGTTACTTGATTAAAAAAGAAACATAGACAGCGTGATAAGAATATTTAACATTAAACTTAATTCATACAGTAACTAATGCATTGACATATGTGCAGAAATAGTGGAACATTTTTCTGTCAGACAAACTGTTACAGCAGATTTTTATTCTTTCTGAGCCATCAAGGAGAGCACCACATTTGAGAAATATTGGTATTAATATTTGCTTTAGTAAATATTCTGGGTGCACTGAAAACGTTATTAGCCTTTATTAGGCATTCATATGATTTATATGTTTTGGTCTAATGGATAATTCTCCTCCTTTTTTCAGTCTTTACAAAAAATTTACAGATTTTTAATCAATTATGAGCAAGTTAACTGTGGAAGCGAATATTTTGGGGATTTTTTCCCCATCATCGTAATATTACTCACTGCTAGTTTTTCATTGTATGAAGAGTTTGCATAAGAAATGGACTTAGCTATGAAATGCTACTTATTTGGCTAGCTTGGGTACATTTAGCTGCTCTTGATTGGCCAAATGTCTTGAATATATTTATATCATAGTGAGGAGGGAGAGTGGGGAACATATTTTTAAATTTCTTCAGTGAGCCAAATTACACATAATAAATTGAATATCATAATTCTTCTAAGGAATTATCATTTCCAATTAGTGCAACTCCTATATGTCAGTGTAACAACCTAGAATGACTGAATGAATCTAGTGAATGAATACAGCATTTTTGTTGGTGGGGTTACTCCCACAGAAATATCCAAAGGGCTAAAGAAATGTATTACATACTGATGGAGATGCTCTGCTAAATTAGGTTAAGAGAATAAATAAAATGTAATGAGAACTGTGAAAACCTTATGTAGTTCTGCAAAAAATAATATTGGCACAACCTTCTGAAAGAATGCTATCATTGTTTTATTATTCGATGTGATGCTTGATTGTTTTTGCTTTTCTTTTTGCTGCTGTATTGTTTAAAAAAAATATATGGTATGTATATTATATTATTTAACCCTGGAAGGAAATGCAATGATTTTTAATCATGCATGTCTTTACAAAGAAGTATGAGTTATTTTTCTTTAAAGTAATGTACATCACTAAACATGTCTTAGCTGGATAATATTCTCCAATGTTTTGTACTTCTTCTTATTATTATTTTCATAGGGGCTTTATACTGGTGACCTTGGAGTTTATTCTTTTTCACATAGCTTAAATTGTGTACATTGCTTACCCATTGCAGCTTTCATTACGTTGTATTGTAAAACATTTTTCATGATTTAATTGTATTTTCCATCTGGCCCTGGATCACCTTTTCTGACTATATAACTTTGAATCTAAATGTATACAATATGTATTGGTCAAATTGGTAAATATAGGGGGTCCCTGGTATAATCACATGGCAATAGCTTAGTTTTTTTAATTTGCTACTAATATTTATTTGAATGGTTTTAACAGGATGTTAAGTGTTTATCTACATTTTGGACACCGTGGTGCTCTTCTGGAATGTTACTTTTTGTGTTCTCTCACCAACGACTTCCCTATTTACCAAAAAGGATGTTGTCAGAGAGCTTTTGTTACAGCATTCAGCAAGCAATCTGTGGCTCCTTCCTCTGACCCCTACGTTACTGCTGTGTTCTGTAATCATATAGGGGTTGAAGGCTGGTACCATAGCACAGGAAGAAGGACGCAGGCTTCTGACACCCCTGTAAATTAGGAATTTCAGAAAGTCTTATGGAGGCTGCAGTGCCCAATCAGATTGAAGATAAGGGTAACAGACCAATGGAGATATGAAAATAATATCTCTACCCTTGTAGGGAACTTTTAATAGAATTTTGTTTGGGAGTGACAGGGTCTTTTTAATGGTGAGTCTGTATCTTGGACACTCAAGAGGACTTTAAACACTTCATGCGGGTTTACATAAATACACGTTATCTGCTTGAAGTGGTTATACCAAGAACATGGCTGCTGCTGCGATAGCTGTTTATGTGCAAGCAATCCGGTGGCTCTGCAGGCAC